TGAAAAGTGTCCTGAGATAACTTCTGTTATGAATTGGCGCTATACAAATAAAACTGAATTGAATTTAATTTAATCTTAGTGAAGCACTTATTTTTACCCAGATATGATCTTCCTCACCAAGTTGTTTTTGTTCCTAAACCTAACCAAACCTATACCATAGACTTGTCACATCATAAAACAGATGATTTGTAATGGTTTTGGAAGGTAAGTGGAAGATATAAATGGAATCAATCTTTGACCATTAAAACATACATAGACATCACCTATTCTGTGTTATTATGTTTGGATCAGGAGATATGATCCAACGTACATCATTTGAATGTAAAATGGCTGCCATGAGATGTTTTTGCGATGGCTCTATTTCTGAAAATGTTTAGAGCCCTAAACTGTACATGTACCCATATCACCTCAAATTAGCTAATATCTAACTATTCTCTAGATTGATCAGTACAAGTGACCCCTTTCACATTGTCATTTAATACATCTCAATGATATACAGTTCAGTCATCCAACTCACATTTGAAATTTACTTAATTTATTACAGCAGTATAGCATATTTCGATTTTGGCGTCTAGGCTCTGACCTCATCATTCCCCACAGATATGTTTACATAGAGCTATTGGGGAGTGATGAGCAAATACCTTAACCCCTAGCCGGAGCCTACAGGTGGATGCTAGGGTGGTGGTGGGGCTTACAGCGCAGCAGCAATAGCTTACAGAGCAGCAGCAGCAATACGGATGCAGGGCAACAGCGGCATTGACAAAGCAGAGGGAAAGCTGGGAAATTGTGCAGTTTAAATAGACCGCCAGATGGAAGGGTGCACTTGGTTAGTGATTATGGAGTGAGGCATGTCATGTGTGTATAACAGCGCAGCTCCAGTTGACTGCCTGAACTAGCTCGCAGGCTTCGCTCTATTTATTTGATCTATTGTAAATAAAGAAACCCCTCAATATTTTCACCTAATCTTTATTATTTGCACAGTACAAGCCAATCTGATGGTATTTTGTTTTATCATTGTATGGGTTTACTGCTTTTTTACATCTCCCACGGTACCTTACTTTTTTTTACTATGATATTGTGCTTCTTGATTAGCTGTATAATTTGCATAATATAAAAGCCTTCAGGAATACAGAAGTTGTTTCTCATCAAGGGATTGCAGAGTATGTGTGTGTTTTGTGTGTTATCTGACAGATAAATTGTCCACTGCCTCAGTCTCCTAATGCTGTTCCTAAGAGAGCAGCAGCTCTAACAACGTCCCCAGAGGACGTGCTGCTTTGTTGTGCTGTTTGCCTGTTGCTATACAGCCGCTCGGCTCAGCATCAGCAGCCCCAGCATCGCTCAGAGAGCAGAGGCTACAATCCATCCACCCCCCCATGCTGGCAAACTGGTGAGCTGAGCCAGTTTGCACACAGCATAAACATCCAATAATGACAGGGGAATGAGAGTCAGCCAAACTGTGGTCTCTGGGTGGATTTGTTCGGTACTTTCACCCAGACTCGTAGGTGAACAGGAGGTTGTGAAACTTTTTGCACTCATACAGGCGTGTGTGGTTTTGCATATATTCCTCTGACTCACTTCTGGGGTTGATTTAAAGAAACAATTTGGCATTTTGGGAAATACCCTCACTTGCTTTCATGCAGAGTTAGGTGAGAAAGGTGAGAGGCCTGTGGCACCTGAGGGAAGGGTGTTGTGGGCATATTCCACCCATATGAGGTGGGCACTCCAGGTGGCTTGGTTCTTGGAGACAAGGCATCGAAGGAACGTCTCAAGCTCCTGGTTGAGGCGTTCAGTCTGACCATTAGACTGTGGGTGGTAACCGGAGGACAGGCTGACAGTGGCGGCGAGGAGCAAAACTCCTTCCAAAAGCTGGAGACAAACTGCGGTCCTCTATCTGAAACGTCACTGGGAAAACCATGGATCCTGAAGACCTGAGTCATCATGACTTCTGCTGTCTCCTTAGCAGAGGTTAACTTAACAAGTGGAATGAAATGTGCCTTTTTAGAAAAACCATCATCAGGATGGTGGAGGTAACACCACCACCTTTGATGGTGGTAGTCCGGTCACAAAGTCCATGGAGATGTGGGACCAAGGCCGTTTAGGAACAGGCAGCGGGTGAAGCAAGCCCATTTGGGCCTGAGGCAAGGTCTTATTTCGGGCACACACTGGACAGCCGCCACATACTCAGATACTTCCTTTTCCATGGCTGGCCACCAGAACCGCTGCTCACGTGAGCATGGACGTGTGAGCCCAGTGGATAACCTTGGAGCGTAATGACACTGGGACAAACAAACGGTTACTTGGACACCCACTAGGTTCTGGGCTCACAACATTTGCCTGCTTAACATCTGATTATATTTGCCATAACACCGCTCCAACCACACAGTTCAGTGGAAGGATTGGCTCGGGTCCTTTGGCAATAGGTTCAGGGTCATAAAGGCGGGACAGAGCATCTGGTTTAGTGTTTTGTGAGCCTGGTTGAAAGGATAGCATGAAGTTGAACCTGTTAATGAACAGGGTCCATCTAGCCTGACGTGAATTCATTCTCTTGGCTTTCCTGATGTATTCGAGGTTCTTATGGTCTGTCCACACTAAAAAGGTTGGTCTGCCCACTCCAACCAGTGCCTCCATTCTTCAAGTGCTGCTCTTACTGGTAACAGTTCTTTGTTCCCTACATCATAGTTTCTTTCCAAAGGGGTCAACTTATGTGACAGATAGGCACAGGGGTGCATCGTACTGTCCTTGGCGGACCTCTGGGACAACACCGCCCCAATGCCCTCGTTGGATGCATCAACCTCAACCACAAACTGCCGTTGGGGGTCAGGAACAGCGAGTACCAGTGCTGTGGTGAACCTTTCCTTGAGGTCTTGGAAAGCTTTTTCAGCCTGGGGGTTCCATTGAAAAGGTACCTTGGAAGAGGTGAGTGCATGCAAGGGTGCTGCTACAGAACTGAAGTTACGAATAAACTTTCTGTAAAAGTTGGCAAACCCCAGGAACTGCTGTACCTTTTTCCGGCCGTCCAGAGTTGGCCAATTGGCCACAGCACTGACCTTAGCCGGGTCCATCTGTACCTGGTTTGCTGTAACGATGTAGCCCAGGAAACTGACAGTGGCTGCATGAAATTCACATTTCTCGGCCTTGATGTACAGTTGACAGATGAGATCAATGGGAGAGGGTAACGGTTCTGAACTGTTATGTCATTTAGGGGGCTATAGTCAATGCATGGCATTAGAGAACCATCCTTCTTACCCACGAAAAAGAAGCCTGCACAAGCTGGAGAGCTGGAGAGCCTGCAGTGAGGAAGTGATGTTCTCGTCACTTTACATGAGTGTTTAGTCTTCTCTCCACCCCTTAATTTTGCCGGAGCACCAGTCAATGTGGGGATTATGCTTTTTAAGCCACGGAAAACCCCAAATCAGCGGATGCTGCGCTAAATCAAATAAATAATTTTTGTGTGGTAGGGCGCCGGAACAGTCTTAATCTGGTTCTGTCGGGCTAGATTCCAGTTCATGAGACTCTGTCTGCCCCGGAGTCAATTAAAGCCCCCTGAGTTAGAGTCCATTCTTTAATGGATTCTGAGAGTACATTCATAAAAGCGTCTATTAAAGCTGGTGTGTTCCACCCGCTATCTGTGGCTACTGTGCGGAACTCAATGGCATAATCAATGACTTGGCGATGGCGCTGCTCGATCTGCATAAGGGCCCGAGAGGCTTCTCTGGCAGGTGAGGAGTGATCAAATATTTTGCTCATGGTATCTTGAAAAACAGTGAGTGACTGGCAGATGTTGGAGTCTCTGGACCATTTAGCAGTGGCCCAAGCAGCAGCTCTGCCAGTTAAATGAGACACCATAAATGCCACTTTAGCCTGGTCTGACACAAAAGCTGCTGGGTTGAGCTTGAAGTGCAGTCACACTGAACTCAGAAAGTTCTACAGTCACTCGAGTCCCCTGAAAACTTCTCCAGGAATTCCAAACGCAGAGACAAGGGAGGACTATTTATACCAGGTGTAAGTG